AAACATATTTGTTCTCGTTATAAACAAAATCAGCTTCTTCTCACAATCTTGACCCCATATCATATATAGTATCCTTGCTTTTTGTATTTGAGGAAGGCACAAATCTCACCACCGTAGGACTTATGCCATATTCTTCATGCTCATACCGGAAAGACATCAGTTTGACAGACCAATGACACCACTTAACTATAGAACAAAGCACCAGCTAAAGGGCAGATTCACTATGTGAAAACACAACACTGGGCAAGTAATGAAAAAAATAGAAAAGAAGAGAAAAGCTCGTCCTGTAAAAAGTCATATTCTCCAAAACGAATGCTAAGAACTAGAATCTTGATCAAAGAAGCACCAAGTTCAGGCCTTTATTATAAATATCATCCAGCATCCGAATCTCACTCGAGAACTTGCATTCCCATCAGGGGAGAGTCACTAATTTTATAAAACCATAAGTCCATAACCCATTACAAGCAAGAAGATAGAGAAAAAAGACAAATATAGTAACGAGAATTTTGGAATCCCGGTGTCTTGCATTCATTTCAGGGAGAAACAAAGAGCATCTCCTTCCTTATTTTTTTCCGCTCAAAAACCTTTAATGGCTTCAATTCACCCACTTCCGTTAACTTTCAATCCAGAGCCGTACGAATCCCTCCCTAACTTGAGAAAACTACACTGCCAAAAGACTTCCCCTTCAGAACTTTATGGTTCCGCATTATCCCCCTCTCCATGAACCAGCTGCCAAACGAACGATGATGTACCGTTCTTTCTCATAGCTGCAGAATCAACCCACCAGAGTGGAGAATCCTTTAAAGCTTAACACGTACTTTTCTGAGAGACACAGTGTTTGGTTGGATTTAGAACTGTATTCTCTTCCCAGTAGTTTAATCCATCCCACTTTCCTCTCTCACTCTGACCACTAACTCCCCCAACCCAAACAGATCTCAAGCTTCCTCATGAGAGGTCATTTTCATTTCGTCAAGCTGAAAACTTTCAACCAGGAGAAGGAAAAAAAAGGAGAGAACTATAGCTTGCCCCCAGTCCAGCATTCCAATCAACCAAACACAATTTGCTAAACAGCCATCACAGAGTGGGAAATCCAGCAAAAAAGAGCAGCAACAAAATAGAAGGAAAAAAAAAGGAGCCCCCTCGATCCAAATCGAGGGAGCAGCAAAACGAACCTTGACATTGGAGAGCAGGACCGGTGACTCGAGAAACGAAGTCGGACTAAGCCCAGGAGGGATGGTGATGTAAGGAGACCTGGAGATCGGGAGCTTCGCCGGCGACATCAGCTTATATCTAGCCCCTCCTCCACCTCCGCAACCGCCACCAGAATCGGCACCATTCTCCCTCCGCTGATCGGCCGAATCGCAAGCAGAAGCCGGGGGAGCCGGAAGGCGGAAGTCATTAGTATCAGCAGCCTCAGCAGCAGCAGAAGTAGCAGAAGTAGACTCCATTGGAGCAGAGAAAGCAAGAGGAGGGGAAGAAGAACGCAAGGAAAAGGGGGAAAGCGCAAGGAGGAAGAAGAAATTGGAGAGAAAGAAGGGTAGAATGGTAAAGTAGAGGAAGAAGGAAAGAGCAGCTGAGAGAGCGTTCGTTCGAAAAAGAACCCAAAACGTGACGGTGGTGATGGTTTGCCGTGGTGGGTTTTCTGGGATTTAAATAATCACAATTTTCAATTGGGTTTTTAAGAATATTAATAATTAATAAGGAGATGGAGTGAGAGAGAAGGCGCCGGCGGAAAAGAGGTGAAGCTGGGCCGCGGCGGCGGTGGCGGAGGAGAGAAGTGAATTGGAAGGAAAATGAAAGCTGAAGAAGGAAGAAGGAAGGAAGGAGTGTTGACTTTTGGTTTACAGTTTTGGATCTGGAATTTCTGCTCTCCCTTTTAACCAATTTTCTTTTTTGCCTTCTTCAGTCTTTCCTTTTGTTTTTTATTTTATTTTCTCTACGTTTTTTTACTGTTTTCGCTGTCTTCCGTTGGACTGAAGTGGGAAACGAAACAAAGGAAGAACCCGACTGCACTCGATTGCTAAAAAGAAATCAATTATCCAACGTAATTTATTCATTTGTATTTTTTAGAAAGTGTGCAATTCATAAACAAAATCATTTACTCAATAGTAAACGATCTTAATTTTTCCACAATAGTAAACACAATCATTGCTTGTGGTTTCAATTTCAAGTAATACCTCTCCCAAGAGTTACCAAACGGGACTTTGCTCGTAGTTTTTTTACATCAATATTGGGTTAGGTAATAATTTTATTTGAAATTTGGGGTTAATTATATTTGTAGAAAATAATAGGGATATAGTCTTTTAAAAAATAAATTGAATACGCACCCGACCATTTTTTTTTATGTCTAGGGGTCGTTTTAGAACATGAGTTATAGAAGGCATATGTCACTTTCTATCTAAATCACTTATAAAAATTGGAAAAAAAAACTTATTTATTGAAATTAATATTTGTTTTCTTCAAAGTAGAATGAGGATTCATTTTCAACCGTAAATGGTCAAGGGTTTTGAATATGGTTAAATTGGGACAAACGATAATAATAATAATAAAAGAATAAATTTACTTACTGGTCATTCTATGATATACTCGAAAAATTTGGATACACAATAAATCATTATTGTCTGTAGACGATCAGGATTAAAATTTTAATTTTTAATACCGAGTATCATTTCATACTGCTAACAGTCATCGACCGATTTAGACTCCAGTCAGTCGGGTCGCCAGGTAAAGGTAAACACACATTTGGCCCTCTTAGTGATTTATGAGAGATCGAAGTCTGTTTTCCAAAAGGGACATGTTCTTCTCCTCTACTATGCTGATATGCACCAACAAAGGAAAAAGTACAGAGAGGGATTGTTGGTCTGGTGAATTCACTCTCCTAAGGTTTTGACAGTCGATGAAGAAGAAAACCAAACCAAAGCAGGGCTCCTTACACAGAACTTCGGATGCGCGCGCCGAAATCGACTTGCCATCAAACTATCCTCTCGACCTGACTCACGCGCACAGCTCGCGCTAGTTTCCTACTTCTCATTGGGAAAGCCACGTGTTCGGCCTATACTCAACTGAAAAAGTATGGCAGAACGACGATGAGAGGTTTGATTGAAATTGCGAGTACGTCCAATTAGATTTGATCCAACATTAGTACGATCCGTTTAAACGTAATCATTTCGATCCAATTCAAGCCGGTATGCAGCCTATGTGATACGTAATTGCTAACGGTGCTTCTCGCCCAAGTGATTCCCTATTCCCCACATGTTGCCGGGAAATGTATAGTCGACGCATTTAGTAACGTGAACTTCATACCTAATATAATTGGGAGAAATGTTTCAATTAATTAGTCGATGAAGAAGGAAAGAACACAAGTACAAGACAGGGAACCGGCAATTCAATAATCCATGTAGTAGCAATGAGCCAATGAGCAAAACCAACCTTTGACAAAAGAATAAAAAAAAAATGCCATTCTTTCACTTGTAGCCAACTTGACAAATGAACAAAAGAGGGAAAAGTTGACAGGTTACTCATAGGGGTGTCTATTCGGGTCGGGTTCGTTACCCAAATCGAAATCCGAAAAACACCAAACCTGAAATCATTGAAAACCGAACTCAAAACCGATAAAATTCCTTATTAGGTTTGGGTTTGGTTAAAGCAAAATCGAAACCCAAAAAACCAAACCTAAGAATATGGGCCAACTGCTATTCCTAGAGGGTTTTCCATCGAAAACCTGATAATCAAAACCAAACCCAAAACTGAAAAACCTTATACCTGAACCTGAAAACCCAACAATGTATCGAATCGATTCGGTTTCGGTTAAAACCAAACTCGAATGGACACCACCTAGTTACTCATTTATCCTTCTTCACTATTCGCCACTTAGCGATAGAGCCGATAGTCGGATCCATTAGCGGTAAACTACTAATCAGAAAGTCTATACGATTAGCTGACCCGCTAGACTATACAATTAACCGCTAACCGATTGACATTGTTATCATAAATAAATTAGAAGGAATAACAAACAAAATTATAAGGCATGAAATTCGTACTAGCAGTTGCCCGGATCAAATTGCAGTTATCTGTTAACCTATTCATCGGTAGCAGCTACTATCCTTTAACGGATATCAATGTAACCGGTAACCAACAATTAACGGTTAACACAATAACCACCTAACAAATTACCAGCCCTACTTAGGGCGAGAAGTCTATCCACATCAATTAACTCCACTCAGATATTTGTGTCCAGAAAAAGCTTATCTTCAAGCTCAAGAACTTGTTAGCCGCCAGTCAGTTGTCATCAGTCGGACATCCCATTCTCTTCTAAGTTCTATCTACCAAGAAACACCAATCCAAATCACAAGTGGACATGCACACAAATTAGATACAGAGGCTCCGTTCATATGGGGGAAGGTCTAATCTCCCTTTTACAAACTTCTGAGGAGACGTTGGATTGACATCCCAACTCCATTGGAACAGCTCTCCATCTAATGAGATCAAATTGAAGGAAAAAAGGGTTTGATCTCGATTCGATTGCAGATGGCATTTGCCATCAGAGAATATCATCGAGGAGCTTCAGATTGACTCTACTGCTGCTGATCACAGAACAGCTTAACCCTTCGAAAACCAAAAGGGAACAAAAACAAAACCCTCACCGACATAGATGGGGTGAGGGGTATTGTATTGAAATTGAACCTTGCATGTGCTTGATACCAATGGGAAACTACCAAATTGGATCATAATGATAACAAGAGGACAGCTTTCCTTTTACATTATACTTTTGATTCCCAGTTATAGTATGCACAACTTGTGTTTTCTGAGCTAGAGCAATAAAGAAAGAAGACCCCATAAGGCAGCTATCAAGTGGGTATGTGTGGGGCAGAACAAAGATTGGGGCTTTTTCATGAGGTGCAGCTAAAAATCCACAATGATGGAGCTGACAGCAACTCAACAGAAAAATGGAAAGCAATCCAGAAAATAAGGAAAGGACAAAAGGAAGAAGAGAAGCCAAATGCGGAAAGAAAAAGAAAAAAGAAGTCTCAGAACGAAAATGTGCAGAGGCAGTAAAAACAAAAGCAAGACCAATGTGAAAGAAAAAAACAGCAGCAGCAAATACAGAAGTGGACGAAGATAAAAACAACTATTTAATCCTACATACAGAGCAAGGGCAAACTGTTGCATTCATGGAGTTTGAATGTGGGGTAGGAGGGGTTATTGGGAAAGCATATGCCATTGCCGCAGACAGACATATTGGTTTAAGCTAGTAAATGGTCATCTGCTGGATATCATAAGCAAAACCTAAACCAACAAAGAAACCAAATTGGGCTACTCTCAATGCAGCTACTGGCAGGAAATTGAACCTTTAAGCAGTTCAGGGATCTAAATCTTGCTTAAATAATAAACCTAGCCAAAGTGCTGGGTTTTGGTTCATAAGCAAACAGAGAGATATTGAACAATGCCAATATCTGCTGACCCAAGATAATTGTAGTGCATGCATGGTAACCAGAAAAGCAAATGCTTTTCTGGTGATCAGCATGGTATGTCAGACAAAACAAATACTACCACCAAAAGTTGTATTAACTCAGATGGTCAGTAGCTAAAATATCTATTGAGGGTAGTAGGATTGATGATGCTGAGGTGGATAACCATATCCATCATAATAACCAGCAGCAGCTTGCCCCCCATTATAAAACCCTGGCGCCATTTGAGACTCAGAAGGGTATTGCTGTGCTGCCACAGCAGCAGCAGCAGCAGGGTTTGGGTTCCCAGGTAAGCCCACTCCAGCTCCTGCGAAACCATACAGTCCAGCATATGAGCCCCCATAACGGGGAATGGGAGGGGAGGCATTCACCATCCCATAGGCCCCAGCTGCATGATACAAACCTGTTGGCTGCAAATGAGGTTGGTGAAATGGACGCTGGACTGTTGATCCAGAAGCAACCATTGGAAGTGCCGGTCCATTTGTTCTCAAGCGCTTATTTCCGTAATGCTGCTGATGGTGTTGCTGCTTCTTTGCTTGGGGCTGGTATTTCGCTTGCACTTGCTTCTTCTTCTTTGCCTGTTGTTGTTGCTGCTGCTGCTGTTGAGGCTTCGTGGCAGAAGATGGTGTAGCCTGTTTGCCATCAGTCTTCTGCTTTTGCAAAGTCTCCATACGCTTTTCAATTTCCGTTCGTGGATACTCAGATTGAAGCTTGTGCTCATCGATGACTTGAAGTACCGACTTCAGTGCACTAACTTCCTTGGATTTGGCCTCATTCTGCATGATAGGTGAGAAAGATATATCAAATTATTTTAATAAACTAACAACTAACAATGGATGCGAGTTTAAAGGGGTCTTCAGGGACACCTGTGTCTTGATGGGAATCTTTCCATCCTTGCAAGCTTGGTTAGTGGAATTTCTGCATTCCGTTAGATATGCTTTCAACAGCGGCACTGCTTCAAACTTGTCAGTCAATCCAAATTCAAAAACAAATTTGACAGCCAGAGGCTGTTTGCCACCATCTATAAGTTTCTGCACAAGAACTGCAAAATGGAAGAAAATGAACAACCATCCATATGGTTCTTTACCTGGGGTGTACAGGTCAATTACACATAGACAGCAAGAAAGGAAAACAATCAAGAAAGAGAGGGACATATTGAGGAGAACACCAAATATAAGTTATCATCAATGACTGTCCTTAAGTTTGAATACAGCAGTTCAGCACCATCTAGGGGAAGCATGAGTAACCCAAGGAGTTGCTCATTTGGCACGGCAGTTTCTGGCCCAAGATTGTGCCCACTGCCCAGGCTATAGGTCTACTGCCAGATATAAACCAACTTTCTACATCCTGACTTTCTTTCTACTTATGATCTCTTCACTAAATCAGTTCACTCTTGAACTTCAAAATACATCCACTTCTTCCTTCTCTACCAAGGAGCTCCATTTTAGGTCCAAATGCTAAACCCATCAGATGACTTTACAATCTTCAAACCAGGGGCTCATTTCACCTTCAGAAGTAATTCATGTTATCTAAGAGGCACCATCAACGTTATCTACACTTAAACTTCACAAAATTCTCACTTTACTATGACAGTGTCCACGCATACTCTTATGTCTTGATTCCATATATTGTCACAAATAGAAGATTTCAAACAGCAAAGAAAAGCTAAAGCATTTGAAAACCCTGGCCGGAAGCATCATAACCAGCAACCTGTCTCAATCTTCGGACAAATTTGTTCCAATAACTTAGGTTATAGGAAGAGGCTAAACAACAAGATCTCATAGGACACTCCTCTCGCACCGAAAAGCCTAATCATTGTGCTTGAAGTTCACAGGCTTATACGCTGTGTTTATATTAGGATCACGGTAGAGGAACTAGTTCACTTTCTCACAATCTAATCATCAGCCTTACGAATTCAAATACAGTAGACGAACCTAGCAACACGTTTAAAACACAACATAAATTCACAGCTACATAAGACCGAATCAAAGCCATTGAAAAGAGATTTCACATCAGCACAGACCAAGCATTACCTGCAGTCTTATCTCCCAGACCAATATCTCGGCACAGAGTAATTGCTTGCTTAAACCTCGCAATGACAACAAAGTAAACCACAAGCTCACCAACATCAAACTGATCCCGCAATCCATACACTGCCAACAAACTCAAGAACGCCAACGACTCAGAAGGGCTCTCCCCACTCAAACTCACTTTGCCCTTCCACTCCAATGCCAACTGTTTAGCACTCTCCCTCACCTCATCGCTAACATTTGGCTTGATATCAACCAACACATCTAGCAAATCCAAACAACTCTTCCTTAGACGATACAATTCCGGGTCTTTATCTCCTTTTGAGGCCGAATTCCCTGGATAGAAGCCCTCCATTGCATTCAAAACCATAGAACCTGGGTCACTGCTCACATGAATTGCACTTGCAAGTTCAGCCCGAATCTCAATTCGCTCCTTGGCATGGTCGCTAATGTAGTCTCTCAACCCTTTCCCATCCAGCTTCTCGCAAAAGAGTACCAACTCAGCTCTAGCTGGACTGGGTCCTCCCACTTCCGGAGAGACCCGCATTGCAGAGCCGGGGTCAGAGTCAACCCCAGCTTTCTCCTCCTCTACACCATTGGCCACGAGGTCTCTCCCCGCCTCGGCCTCAATCGGACCACCGTTCTGCTGGCCGGAGTCCGAGGAAGAAGGGCCGACTCCTTGGCGAGGAAGAGCAAGGCCGTGGGATTGTACGAGGCTGAAGCGGCGAGTGAGGTCATCCTGGTGGGAGGAAAAGTGGGAGTCGAGATCGGACCACGAGAGTGAGAACGCCGCGGATGAAGAATGGCGTTGGAGTTCATCATACGCCTTCTTCAGGTTCTCCTTCTTCGCGTCGGTCAACTTCAGAGCGGCTTCGATCTTCTTCAGCGTCGGGATTTGATCTGTATTCGCCAAAGCAATGGGACCGGTTACTATGACAACACCCCTTGTGTTGTTATTGTAACAACACTAGTCTCCAACCAATAGGAAGCTAGGGTTGTGATGACTTTTTATTAGATGAGTTGACCTAGTGTAAAATCAAAACAGGGGTATAATTGTCATTATGAAAAATATGTTTAAATAATAAAAAAATAAAAAAATAAAAAAAATAAAAAATAATTTTTTTTATTTTTTCGGGCCAAAATTTTGGTTGCCGGAATTCTGTCACCGGTCGCCGGAAAATGGTCGCCGGTCACCGGAATATGCTTTTCGTCGCCGGAATATGCTATTTTGTCATCAGAATATGCCACCGTCGCCGGAATATGCTTACCGGCGTCGGAATCTAGTCATCGGCGCCGGAATATGCCTATCGGCGCCGGAATCTGGTAACTGACGGTCATCGGAGTTTGGTCAACAATTTTCGTTGACCGGTCAACGGTCTTCGTTGACCGGTCAACGGTCAACGACCACCGGATGTTATGGTGTGCATTGTGAGATTTATGGTTTGGTTTCTCGTATTTATGTATGTCTTTTGTGGTTTGCTTTATCGTCTCTATGGTTTGCATTAAGAAGTTTCTGGTTTGCTTTATCGTGTTTGTGGTTTGCATTGAGAAGTTTCTGGTTTGCTTTCAAAAAATTTGTGGTTTGCTTTGCGGGGTTTCTGGTTTGTTTTAATAGATTTTTGGTCTTCATTAGGACGTTTCTGGTTTGTTTTTGTGGTTTGCTTTATCGTGTTTGTGGTTTGCATTATGAGGTTTCTGGTGTGTTTTTTAAAATTCTGTGGTTTGCTTTGCGGGGTTTCTGGTTTGTTTTAGTAGATTTTTGGTCTGCATTAGGACGTTTCTGGTTTGTTTTTTTGGTTTGTTTTAACGTGTTTGTGGTTTGCATTTTGAGGTTTCTGGTGTGCTTTCAAAATATTTGTGGTTTGGTTTGTGGTGTTTCTGGTTTGTTTTAGAGAATTTGTGGTATGCATTAGGAGGTTTCTGGTTTGCTTTTTTGTGGTTTTTTTTATCACGTTTATGGTCTGCATTAGGAGGTTTCTGGTGTGTTTATTAAAGACTAGTAATCTGCATACCGATAACTCCTAAAATGCATATCATAAACACTATAATAAACTAAAATACATCAAAAACTAGATTTTTCTTCTTATTCTTCCTTTCTTCTCCTCTCTGCTCTCGCCAGCCGCCACTAAAATACATTAAAAACTAGATTTTCTTCTTATTCTTCCTTTCTTCTCATCTCTACTATGTCAGCCGCCACCTCTATCTTCCTCTATCCACAACTCGCTCCCAATTCACCACACCACACGACCCAACGTCGTCCCCTCTCCATCCCCTCTCCACAATTTGCAGATTATTGTACACTTGGCCCATCGGCGCCGGCGTCGGAGAAGAAACCGCCTCCAGCATCCTCCGCTCGGCGCCGCCGCCGATTCCGAAAATTAAAAGGTACATGTTTCGAACAAGCAGAAGAATTTGCTCTCCCTGAACCCAATCCCCACGCAATGCCGACTGTCATCCCAGGCGTGGTAGTGGTAGTAATTCTTCCATGCCGATGCCCCGCGGCGGAAGGTACAGAAGGTCCGATCCTGCGCGTCGATGACGAGAAAGAGCGACAATGTTTCACCCCGTCTCCATACCAATTCGACGGCGGCAACGAAACCTCTTCCCACCGTTTCACTCGCTTAGGTAGCGTCGTCGATGTTTCAATTCCATCCACACAATATTGCAGACAAATTTTCCCCCAATCCCGAGCTCAATCGATGCAGCTGATGCAATGGCGCCGGTGATGGTACAGATGCGGATTGGCGCCGCCGATGGCGAAATAAAAATTCCTCTATCCCGCACCACTCCGGAATCGTCTCTTCTTCGTCAGTTTTCTAGTAAACGACAGCTCCTTGCACTTCATCGCTACCCTCTCGCCAAATTCACTTGTTGCTAATCTTCTTCTTCTGGTATGTACCCAAAATTTTTGACCCACACCTGACAATGATCTCTTTTGGTAGAACAAACACAAAGTTCTATAATCCTTTGCCTACGAGTGGCGACCAGGAAGAAGAAGGAGAGCCCCGCCTGTGAGTGACGACCCGGAAGAAGCAGAGCGTCTCCTGCGAGTGGCGACCGGGAAGAAGGAAACCAGTGCAGGCCCTGGTTCGAGTCCGAATACGATTTTGATGTCATCATCGGCGTTTTCGAAACAAGCGTCTGGCCCGACCGTCGGAGCTTCTCCGACATGAATCTCGGCCCCGTTCGCTCCCGGTGGAAGGGGATCTGCCAGGTCGAGATCAGATCCATCGCTAGAAACTGTAATAAGATGTTAATCGGAGGGCGATTTTTTGAGAAAGGCAGCGCGACGGAGGCCAATGGGCTCAATCAGAGAATCCGTCGACGATAAGGGAGGAGAAGGAGATCGGGAGACGGGGTCGGCGATAAGGAAGGAGAAGGAGATCGAGAGACGCAGAGAAGGTAGTTGGGTATTGAAAATTTATAATTAATTTTAATTTATTATTTTTTGTTGGTTTTCCTTTTTTACCCCTGATGTTACTATAACAACACTTATAGTGTTGTTATTGTATCTGCACCCCAAAGCAATCGCCATCGATCTTCAACCGGGAAAAATTGATCGGAATCCGTAAACCCTAAAACCACCGCCGAGGAAGGGAATCGGCGAAAGAATCTCTTAATATCGGTTATTGGCGGGTGACCGGATTCACCGTTAAATTGACAGGACAACGACGGCAGAGGGACGGAACTAGCGATCGTTTGGAGAATGGAGAATAATGCTTTCGCCAACCCAAAACGACACGCCGTTTCGGTATCCTTCTTCCAGTTGCTGGGCATTTGGGCTTCAGAAAGTCGAAGCCCGTCGGAATCAGAAATGGGCTGAAAGTAGCCTTTTTTTCCAATCAAAAGCTCGTGATAGTGGGCTCGATACTGAAGCATTTGTTTTGTATGATGATATTGGGCTTCAAAGCGGCCGATAAGGGTGGGAATGTTGGGTGGTTAATTCGCGGATTGATATCGCTCCATTCGTAAATAATCCGACTCGTATTCAATGGGTGATTGATGTGGGTGGATTGCGGATTGATTAAATTTCCACTCGCACTTATGTGGGTGGGTAGGTGGGTAGATTGCGGGTCACCCGTATGACCCGCATCATATTTTTACATGAAAAATGTTGTTTCTTATATAGTATAGAATATTCATCATATTTTTTGACTGCACTACAGTCTGACCATATACTTCAAAAGGTGGAGAATAAAGAATAGTTTTGACTATTATTATTGATTTTGTGTTATGCAATATCTATTAGGTATTGGATATTGGTATGCAAATTATTGTTAATATCAATTAAATATTAGGATGCAAACTATAAATTATTAATTGTATCAAAATCATATATTATTGATACAGTCTTACTAATTTGTTATGAACTTATTATAAATGTTATGCAACTTTCTTAATAGCAAGTTGGATAATTGTTTTTACGGGTTGACCCACGACCCAACCGCACTCAACTGCCACCCACCCAACCCAACTCGAAAAGGTATGTGGGTGGATTGCGGGTCACAATTATTTCATTTCGCTAGTAAGCGGGTGGGTCAATTTGAGACCAAAACCTACTCAACCCGCCCATTGCCCATCCTTATCGGCCGATAATAGCACCTCCGCTACCGATTGCCTGCTGAGTTCATGTTTTGTGCCTTGCAACAGCTCCAGGAAACGATGGCGGATACCTTCAACAGAAGCAAACCCTCCTCATAATGGGTTTGTAGGAGGCATATGATCACTAACACTATGTTTGGCAACAAAGGGAGTGCAAATCCGAGGGGGTGCAAGTTGAGGGGGTAAATTGCTGAAGGGGGGTGCAAATTGGTGGAGGATGTAAGTGTAGTGGTAAATTGTTGTTTGGATGAAAAAGTAAGAGGGTGCAAATAGAGTTAAAAGTAAGTATTATATTATTATAAAATAGATTTATCAAATTTAAAAAACGTTATCACAAAATAATAATAAAAATTAATTATATAAAAATTAATATTAATTCATATGATTTAGTAAAAATAATTATTATATAATAGTTCTTGAATAATAATTAATTATAGTAACTGTAATAGTTATTGGTCGAGCGACCTCGAAGCTCAAAGCCCAACTCGTAACTGGTCATCCTACAAGGTTCTCATTTCTAATTTAACTTTAAATTGAATATGGTCAAACTTAGTCAAATACGTTCCACAAACACTTCTCATCTCTAATTTTCAATGCAAATTCGAGTCAACCAAGAGATCTCTATTTGACAAGACGAACATTGATAAATTTGCTTCCAGAGTCAAATGGTCAACCCCGAACAATGTCTACATTAATAGTAACTACAATAAAAGAAATTGACAATATTAATTATCATGTAATTATAATTATATAATAATTATAAATCCATAATTTGCCTTCTCACCCCTCCCCCTCTCTTCCTTCATTCCCTTGCACCCTAATTTGGGTAAAGCCGAAACGGTAACTTTACACTCTCGTTTTGCACCTTTTTGACTATTACAAATTATCTAAACCGATGCAAGTGTGTTGAAAACAGTGTTTACCCTTCTCATTTGCACCTCTTCCCAAAGAAAGTGTAAATCTAATGAAGTAATTGAAGAGCCATCTGAAATCTGAATATTCCATTCCTTTGCTTCTTATGATCACTATTTATACTTGTTCCACTTCCATGATAAAGAACACCCCACATGTTCAAAATCTGACACTCACTCATCTCAACTCTGTAAAATAAAGATATGTTGCTGATGAATGAGGATTGATAGCCAACTCTTTCCACTTTTATTCAGTCTCTTCAGTTGATGGGTAAATAATCGGATCATAAAAGAGGAAATTTGTGCAAGACAGCTGAAAGCAAAAATCATGAACATGATTTGGCTTTGCTGACTTTTTTTCTGCACCTCAAGTCACCATGTGACAGTGGGGCCATATCCATAACCATTTGATCAGTATAATTTGCATCCATCATTAGCATATAATTAGTTTGAAATTATGATTTCACCATAATTCAAAGGTTTGAAAATGGGCAGAACAGACAAATAGAAGTAAAGAACAGAAAGAAGAAGAAGAAGAAGAAAAACGACAGTTTGGAAAGGGAAATTTTGCATGTATACAAACTGGAAACACAGCAGGAATAGAAACAAAGCTGAGAACCAAACCAGCATACAAGTCATGATTTCCCCGTCATCTCTAAACATCTCAAGTCTCACCATGAATCCAAGGTAAAGGGAGAAAAACAACACACACTACTACATCATAAAATTATTACAGTTCATCAGCATTAGATACTTAGTCTCTCCATGGATAGAAGGGAAGTCAAACTGTTGTCACCTGTGTGTTCTCTCCTCCCGAACTGTGAAACTAGCAGTGACTAAGGGAGGGCTCAGAAGAAAGCCCTGCTCCCATAAAACACTCGGGAACCTGCTTTAGTTGATGAGGGTGTTTTCTGCTGCTCGGAGTTTGAACTTCCTGAACTCGCTGGTCCGCTGCTATCGATGTCCAGTGGAAGCTTCATCTTTGCCAATGACTCGGTGAATTGTTGCATGCTCTTCATATACATGTCAACTATGTCTTGCTGCACAACACCCTGCCCTGGCTCCATGTTCAGAGAAACAACAGGCTTGGTAACTTCCTTTCTTGGAGTTCCAGCTGAGGAGTCAGTGAATTCTTGCATGCTCTTCATATACATGTCAACTATGTCTTGCTGCACAACACCCTGCTCTGGCTCCATGTTCAGAGTAACAACGGGCTTGGTAACTTCCTCTCTTGGAGTTCCAGCTGAGGAATCAGTTTCCCCGTTTGCAGCATCTATGCCCTTGTCCTCTTTGCTAACCGAGTTGTGTTCTTCGGACTGAGTCTTGGAGTTGTCCGAGTTCACACCATTTGAAGGAGATGAGACGTCTCCATTTGTTGCTGACACGCTGCTTGGAGGAGAATCGAGCTTATTAGTAGCTAGGGCAGAACCCACTGTCGCAGCAGAGTAACTTTCCACTACATTAGCAACGCATGTACCATTACTGGTATGGTTGTCAGCAGCATCACAAGTGACCAAGCTCTCAGAGGTTTCAGACTCATCCAGATCAGTACGTGGTGTCCCATAATACTCAGAAACCATCATCTGGTTTTCATTTGCAATATTTGGATCTGGGAATTCAAGCTTGTCAAGCTCACATTCGAGTGATTCCTGAACCTCGGAGTCCCTCATCACCCCATCAGCAGCAGGAATTGCCATTACCTCCGGAGTAGCTCCAGTATATGAGAGTGAGAGTTGAACATATCCAGAAGGTGAATGGAACATATCATTGGATGAAAGGGAGAACTCTTTCTCCAACTTCCCATTCTTCATAACAACTTCAGACAAAGGCACCAAAGCAAACCCCAGCAACTGATCCTCGAGATAGTTCCTCACCCGACTCATCATGAATACCTCGCACTTAAGAGAGCAGTCGACCGTCTTGACATTTATCTGCAGATTCTGATTGAAAACCGGGTTCCTGCCACCACCATTGATGGTGTTGGTGGAGACAGTGTTCTCAGGATCACTGGTGAGGCAAATCTTGGCATAAACATCTTGTTTGTGGTAGATGCATATGTTATGAATGTCCCTAGCCTGATGTACATAAACCTCAAGCTTGCCAATGAAGTTGTCCTCCAGATGGCCATTAGTTGCCTTCCTGGGAACCTCCTCCTTGGTTATGCTGTTGACTGCACTCCTCACAGAATGGTCCGTTGTTTTCTGCTTCTCTGGCTCCGCGGTTACAGCATTCTTGAATGGTGAAACAACAGATTGTGGAGAATCCATTAGCAACCTGGCTGAAGTTTAGACCTGGCATAGCACACAAAGCAAGTTCCATTTAAATACAGAGAAGCTAGAACAACTAAGAGGGAGTTGAAATTCCCATTACCATTTCAACAGTTTCTACTTTCTAGGACCCCATCATTTAAAACAGTTCCACAGATGAAACGATCTATTTTATTGCAGACTCAGTTCAACTGTGAGACGCTCAACGCAAGAACAAGAACTAATACAGTAATACGAGCTTAATATGCATAATCCAAGCCCTAATTTGTGCTGCAATAGTGGCAGAAACAAATTTAAGCTATGAACAAAAACTTACCAAATGAACATAAAATGAAGACAAACTGAAATCTTTATAACCTAAGCGTCAAGAACAGAAGGCAAAAGCAACCAAATCCCTCAAGGTCGAAAAAGTTCATAACCCAAAACTCAGCATTTCAAGTCAACTGCACTATATATGAATGAACCCAGAGATCAAAGAGTCCAGTCAGTGGACATACAACTGGGAAACGAGAACAAGGGGAAAAAGAGCACAAATTTCGCAATTTCCCTCAAACACCCCCATGGAAAGTCAAGAAGTAAAGGCGAACTCCGACACCCATGTTACCCAAAAACCTAGAAGCAAAGCAAAGCCCCCTAGTCAGCGGGTTCATACAGTGACCGGATTCCAATGAAGTCGCCGACTTTGTCAGCTCATAGGCCGGAATCCAAGGGAAAACGGACAGGGCAAGCAGGAAACTTCGCAAACAAACAAAAAATCCCAGAAAACCCGCCCCCAATTCCTCGACAATTCGTGACCTAAAGCGACAAAATTTGCCAAAGTAAGCAGCTGAGGTCCATCAGAAGGAAACCCACAAAAGAACTCACCTCAGAAACCTTCACACACAGAGAGAAAGCAGGGGAAGGAAATGAAAATCCTCAAGAACTCCAGAAACTAATCACAGCACACACCCGTCGAAAAGGAAAGCGGAAGACAAGTGGAGGAGCAGAAAAAAAACCCAGGAAAGTAGGAAACAGGGTCTTGTGGAAGAGAGCCCCACCTTTCGTATTTCTACAAAGAAAGTCAAAAAAGGTATACGGCCGACGAGAAGTCCCGAGAATCAAAGCAGTGGAGAATTAGATAGAAAGTAACAAAAGGGTTCAATTCAATTAACTCAAACGGCTGATGACCCCAATTCACAAATCGAGGCCTCTGTTTCGTCTCTTTTGCCTCTCGCTTTCCTCGCCCTTTATCTCCCCTCTTACTTTAAGCCCCCAAGAGAAAAGGGAAAGCAGAGAGCAAGCAACGGTCCCAAAGAGGAGTGGCGAGAATGAACAGAAGATGAGGAGGGAAAGGAGACAAATTCTACGGGATCGTCAAATTTTGGAGGAAAACTAATCAAAGTATTGATCTTTTCAGGGAGAAGAAAAAGGGGGATAGGGGGAGCGCAGTGTTGTCGCTGGCTGACCGGTAGAAGGTAAGGGCGTGTATCCCGTTTTCTTTATACAGGTATAGAACCCCACAAATTTGTCAGTTTGTACAGAGGAACAGTGGCTCAATCTGAAAAGATAGCGGGAGGGATAGTGCGACAGCGGGGCACGGCAGAATGGGGAGGTGACCGACCAATTGAATTTGGGATTGGTGGCTGCTGAGGTGGGGCCGGCGGTGGTGGGGTGGCGGTGGCGCAGTCCCCGTGACTGTCACTCTGACTCTGTGGGAAAAGCTGGTTTAAAGAAAAAGGATGCCAAAGGTAGCCATCGTCCCGATCCGGTTTTTACAAAGGATTTACTCGTATTCCTCTTTGAAAGATAGGTTACTAGACAAGCCAACAAAGAAGTTCAGAAAAGATTGAACAATTTGTGTTTAAGAAATACAACAAGGGAAGAACAAACACACAGAAAAGATCAACCCAAAAGATCTGCAACACTTGAATCAGATCCAGAAAACATATAAACCTCTCTTGCAATCAAACCAATCAAAGAGCACCAAGCACAATCAGCTTGTCCGATCCGACCGAATCCATGACAATTGAACACAACCTCATATGCCGCCTCCTGGGAGTCGCTCGAAGACGCTCAACACAGTGAATCTCTGGTGAGGGGTTACATGGCGGGGGAAATGGAAGAAACTTGATAGTGAATTATTCTATCGATTTAGTTTGAATATATATGGTAACGGCTGGTATATTTCAGGAGTACAGTATACTTCCGAATAATAGTTCGTAATATGATCTAACATATAGTGAAAAGCGCCATTACAAATCAACGAGAAAATAATGTCGTGTGAGCTCCAAACTAGAAACCTTTCTGCGGACCGACCCGAGAATGTGGTGCTTGTTTTCCTCGTTGGATCGGGGTCGATTTGGGTAGAACTGTGGGTTGACAACCTTTGTAGAAACACAAAGCAAAGCATTCGCACCCACCATGGATCATATGTATAAATCCTTTGTGGGGTCGTTTGGATGGAGGAATGTGGCAGGATTGTAATGCAGGATTTTAAAACAATCCCACACTATGAGGGATTTTAATCAAATAACACGTTTGGAAATGGCTATACAAATTAGGAACTGTAGCTATTAGAGATTTTAAAAACCCACACATGTGGGATTTCAGAATAGCTAATGAGGGTCAGCTATTTTGAAATCCCTCATTATTTTTTGATTTGTTCCAAACTTATCCTCCTTCTATCCTTCACCCACTCTTCACCCACCCTCTTTGTCCTTCTGTTCATCCTCCTCTGATTTGGCGGCGGAGGAGATTCGCCCACTCTACTCGTCGTCCCTGTCGTCGCCCGTTCTTGTCCCCGCCCACTCTCGTCGCGCCAAATCGATCACTCGTCCCATCCTCCGTGATTTCGTCGGATCTGTTGGCATAAAGAAAAAGGGAATCTGGGTTCTAAAATGGGTTGTCGACTACCTCTTCTATGCGGCACGAAGCCATCTTCTTGCTCTGGGTTCTGGGTCGAGCACAAAGGACAAATCTGGATTCCTAGATTGAAACGCAGAGGTCAAATCACAGTCGAAGTTTGAAGCTTGACGCCGATTCCATTCGAATCGAACTCGAGGTACTTGCAATCCATTGTCGGTCCTGCCCTGTTGCAACGAGGAGGCGGTCAGGGAATATGGGATTGGCTTTCCCTTGCTTGATGGGCATATGTGGTTTTTGGGTTTGCCTTTGCAATTGTTTACTTAGAATATAAATTTTGGTCTGCAATTTTTAGATTTCTGGGTTCATGTTTGTTTAACATCAAGCTGATACTATTCATTGACCTCTTGTTGGTTCATTGCACTATATACATTTTGTATTAGTAACTTTCCAGCAACTTTAATAAATTGTTTGTGTGATTCTTTGGTTTGCAATTATCCATCTGTACATAATATTGATGATGGAAGAGGAAGAAGAAAGAACGAGTAAGGAAGCAGAGAGGAAGAACACAAACATAGGGCAAGAACACCTATTGAACAAGAGGGATAAAAATGTACTTTTAGGCCATCCCTTTAAATTCCTGCATTCCCATCCAAACAAGTAATTTAAGCCAAATCACTCATTTAAATTTCCTGGATTTTCGGGTGAGTGATTTGAGCTCAAATCCCTCTCAAATCTCTCAAATTAAAATTCTGCATCCAAACGACCCCTGTATGAGTCATTTATACTGAATGATACGTCTGTTAACCTAAAAATGCTCATCTGAATGTTTCAAATGATACTATTAACTCGATTTCAAATGTTTTCTTTCTGTGAGTTATTTCCAAAAGACTCATTGTATAGCTCAATTTTTAATTATGTCATTTTCTCTTTTTCTTAAAGGGTAAATTGTAAGGTTGGTCACTGAAATTACTAAAAGCGTTCATGTTTGGTCACTAAAAATATTTAATTCCATTAGTGGTCACTAAAATTAATTAAGTGTTTCAAGTTTGGTCACTCTCCGTCCAATTCCGTTAGTTTTGTCTGATGTGGCAGTCAACTTAAATAGTTGACCGTTAAATGTCTGACGTGATTATTAAAAAATCATTAAAAAAATATTTTAAAATTCTGAAATTTACACCTCGTTATTATTATATTTATTAAAAATAAAAATAATTTTCCATATATCACAACCTTCAATTTCTATCTCACAGGATCTTCGTCCTCCTCCATTAAACTCCCAGTCCTCTTTTCGTTTTCCTCCTTTGAGCGACAACCACCACCCGCCTCCTCGATTCCATTGTCAACTGAAGGATCTCAGCTGAAGCCCAAACAGCCACGATCGTAACCGATTAATCAAACCTTCTATCCGTCATCGCCTTCCCCGGAGGCAAGCACGAGTTCCAGATCCGGCGAACCTTCCTGGTTCGGCGAACTCGTGCTTCTATCATTCCCTGCAGGAATCGAATGCTTCTTCGAATCGAGACTGGAAAGCTCCAGCTTATGTCCGTCTATGCAGATCAGTCCTTCTTGATTCAGAAATCCACTAAACCACCCACATCGCTCGAGCCAGCAGCAGCCAGCCCCGTCGCGGAAGAGGATACGCCCACCCGGCCGATTCACCAGTTCCTCAGCTAGCAGAAATCTAGCCAGATCTTGCTCGACATGGAAGAGCTCAAGGTCGTTGGCGATAAGCGCCAGCCGAACAACCACAACATCACGTCGGCTCTTCGATGAGCATTGAGCAGGAAGTCGTCGATCCGCGTCTCGTTCGACCCGTCCCTCTCTGAGGCATATGCGACGCCGACACCGCGGTAGCCACCGCCGCGTTAGGAGACGAATCCGTCGCGGTGCCGGCACCGCGGCCAGAACCCCTCGCCCCCTCCCTCGGCGTCGCTTATTCTTCCTTTGAATCGAGCTATGGCAGCACCCATTTCCGGAGCAGATCTACGAATTCGAGCCATCGTTTTCTTCTTCCTCCCTCGCCGCTTCTTCTTCCTCAATAGGTGGTCGTCGTCGTTCAAAGGAGGAAAATAGAGGGGACTGGGAATTCAATGGAATTTGATGAAATCTTGTGGACAGAATTGGAAGGTTGTGATAATGAATGTTTTTATTTTTTAATAAATATAATAATAATGAGGTGGAAAATTATAAATATTTATTTTTATTATTTTTAATTACCACATCATACATTTAACGCTCAACTATTTAAGTTGACTGTCACATCAGACAAAACTAACGGAGTTGGACGGAGAGTGACCAAACTTGAAACACTTAATTAATTTTAGTGACCATGAATGGAATTAAATATTTTTAGTGACCAAACATGAACGTTTTTAGTAATTTCAGTGACCAATCTTGCAATTTACCCTTTTCTTAAATCTACTTTTATCCTTTCCTTTCTATTATTTGTGTTCCTTTATCATTGCTTTGTCTCCCTCCAAATTATTTTTTTATTTCTCCCAAATTCGTAAGCAACAAAAAGGATCATTCATCTCGTTGTCTCTTCTAATCTCTCTTCACTCTAGCTCTCCATGTCATCGAAGTTGCCGCCTTCAAGAATGGATCTCAACTCTCTCCAAGTATCAGAGCTCTCTTCTTCGGTCGTAAGCAACTGATGATGCACATCAACCCAAATTGAAGTCTCCCTCTCAACGATCATCTACTCAAAGACGCATCTTTCCATTCACAAACCTCACTATTTACAGGGCATTTGCCGTTATTCCTTGTAATTTGATCGAATATATTTTGATTCGGTTTCGATCATATAAATTATGTTAAGCATGAAAGAAAAACAGAACTAAATTGAATTTATACTGGATCAATTCGAACAAAACATGCTTTTGTTTCGATTATGATCCTCAATTTTTCTTTACTTTTAGTCCGATCATATCTGGATATGATCCAATTCTAAACTGAATCAAACAATTCACACTACTGTTAGGAGCGGGGTTGCACTTGCAAAAACGAATGACAAAAATAATCATACCCGTGGATACCCACCCAAATCCGACCTACTTGGGTAGTGTAAAACCTGAACATGAAGGACTTTTAAAGGGTATAGGTAAAACCCAAATACGAATATTACGGGTGATGAGACATTACTTTTTTCACTATTCAACCCGAACTCGTCCGATTATACATATGAATGTGTATTTTGTATAAATATGGTCATTATTTTACTCAAAATATTTTATATTTATCATACATATATATAATACTTTCGTGCAATTATATTGTTTCTTAACTAATTTTCTTCGCTCTAACAATTTCGTAATATTAATCCAAAATCCAATCAGATACGTATGCCTTTGATATTTCAGAGGCTTAGTTAGAACATAGAAGTAATTGTTTTATTGGGCTTTAGAGAAGAGAAGGTCGTTCAAACAAGTCTATCCTCCTCATTTTGTTGGACCGGACCTATTAAGTTTCACAGATTAGAGAGAAACCCAGGCCCGAGTCCAGTTACAGCCTTCTGGTCGCTCTGGCCAGCGGCCCACAAATTGGCCATAACGGCTACTTGTTTTAAACGCTAATGCCTAATGGAATGGACTGAACGAATTTGACCTTATTCTCGAAGACGAGATC